GTGAGTAGGTTCCTATATGCTTTTCATTGTGTTTTAATAAAGTCATTTGTCATCTGATTGATCAATAATAATTGCATGTCTATATTTAGAATCCAAAGATAATTTCTCATACCTTGGTTTTTTCCCATAGCTTTTGTAAAGAGACATTTAGAAGACAAAATTTGAAAGTTTTTTTTAGCGAATTAGTCTTTTTTTCGGAATAATTGGTAATGTGTATCACTTTAGAATATCAACTTAATTACAGGTTTCAATACATAGCGATAGTCGTATAGTCATACATAGGCTTATTTGTGCAGGTAATACAAACTTCTAAAAGGGAAACAGCAACGGATCAGTCAGCGAACACGTGCAAAAGAAGAAAAAAGCGAAAATTCTCAAAAACTAGTGTTTAAATCGACCTTGGTGCACTAATTAAAAATATCAGGGACGAAATTTTACATTAACTCATAAAAGTCTATGGCTATAGCTATAGCTTCTAATGTTAAAGTCTTAACACTAAATTTATGTTTATACGCACTTTGTTTACAAAATTAAATTTTCTTTTTTTGGTAACAAATAAGTAAATCCATAATACAGAAGTGTGTCACCAAATTTTTAAGTACGTACGAGGTAAATTCGATATCTGATATACAAAAGATCGAAGTCTAAATATTCGCCATATTAAGTCTCATTATAATTTTGAAAAACTTCTACTAAACCTATTCTCTTAGAAACTTTGAATTTTTAATATATAATAACGTTCAATAATACCGCTTAATGATTTAATGTAGTTCATCGTATTGTCTCATACCAATATTGTGTACGTACCTACCTGCCTACCTACCAAGAATATAGCATCACACAATATGCCATCATTGCGAAACAAACAATTTCGTGTACTATTTTTAGAATTGAACTATATCGAAATCGCTTAGTATATATTCGTCTACCATAGATGTAAATGAATAATTCATTAGTAGTAATATTATTCTTAGCACATGCAACATGCTCATGGGAATGTTTTCAAAACGCCAAATGCTACATACGCGACATTTGGCAAAGTTTAAAATTAGCAATTATAAGTAAGGCTAAATTAATTGAAAAAAAGCAATCCATTCCATATTTTGATTAGAATCCTCAATGAACAAGGCGGTTTTTATATCTAACGCATATCTAAAATTATTTATATAAAGCGGCCTTCAAAACTCCTTCAGCTCCACACGAATTGTTTGATTACAAAAAAACTATTCGTCTACGATCAAATTCAAATTTATTTATTTAAAATTTTAAAAAATTTTTTTTTGTCCTTTCAAAATAATAATCATGGAGTTCAAAATCGCTCTCATCGCTCTCATATGTCTTTTGATTGCCGTTACATTTGCAATTCCAACTCCACAAGGTATTTAATTTTTATAATTTGATTATACTTATTAATGGTCATGAATTTAACTTACTTATTATCTATACTACTTTTAAGATGACACTAGTGACTTAGGTAACATATTATAATATATTTTTATGTACTTGATTGCTTATATTTGTTTATTTATTGATTTTCTATTTATTGTTTGTTAATATATTCAGTATCTGAGTACAAACGTACTCCTGAATATAAACATGAAGATAAACACCATCATCCTCATCCTTATCATCATCCTCATCACGATTACCATCACGATGATTACCATAAGGATGATAAACATCACCACAAACGTACTCCTTATAAGCACCATAAAGATCATGATTATAAAGAATATCATCATAAACACCATAAAGATCATAAAGACTATTATCACGAAGACTATAAACATCATGACAAACACCATAAAGAGCATGACAAACACCATAAAGAACACCACAAACGGGCTGAACACCACAAAGAACACCACAAAGAACATCATAAAGACTATCATCACGATTACAAACATAAAGACCATAAAGACTATCATCACGATTACAAACATAAAGACCACAAAGATTATCATCATTGAGGTCATTATTAGAAACACGATAAATACTAAAGAGGAGGAACACTATGAAGGTGATAAAATACATATTAAATGTGTCTAAATGCTAAGTTTTGATCAAATTTACCCTTCATAACGATGAACATTAATTTGAATGATAAAATTCTTATTAAATAATTTGTAATCAAAATTCATTATTGTATTATTACTTATCATAACTATAAATTACTCATGAATTTATTTTGTGTATTTTTAAATTTCATTATTGTAGTTACAAATAAAATCACTTTTACTTTAAAATAAGTTCTTGAAGTTCTAGGGTATAGAACACCTAAAATGGTTCTAACAGTTCAATCGTTTAACCTGCTATCCATTTAACCAAATTAATCTTTGAATCATGGTCAACAAGATTTGGAAAGTTTCTGCACACTCTTAAGGCTGGAATTACTTGCATTATGACTATAGCTCATAATTCAGTCAGCTAATAAGCACGATCATATTTTACACTACGTTGTCATGCAGATCATGTGAAGAAAGTTTTGTTATCGTTATGGCACCCTTGAAAAATGCACCAGGATGTAGGTGACATTTTCCGAGCACGTGATGATCTACAGAAATTAACCAATAGTGAATCACGATTTAGAGTAACGTTACACAATCTGGAAGATTTAAAACCAAAAATTTACATAAGAAACCACCGTTTGTGCTCTAAATAAAACTTTTCCTAGAGTAATTTTACTTAACTCGCTATTATCAAACCCTAATATATGTGCTAACCCTACATAAAAAATTTTGTAACATTTCACGTGTTCGGAAAATATCTTCTACACCCCTTGAATGTGTGCCAGATTAGTGGCGCATTAATCAGCCAAAGTAATTTGCGTCATCTAAAAATTTTAATATTCAAGTACGAACTACAATAAAAATTTTAATGAACAAAAATACCATTTCTCAGAGATATCTAAAAATTATTTCTTACCTGATTCCTGTTTTTTTTTTTTAATTTCAAAAAGTACATCCTCTTCTTTTTATAACTTTTAGTCTGTAGTATTATAGTTATTCAATTCGCATGCTTTTTTCGTAGTTTTTTAAAAATATTTACGATTCAAAATAATAGTAATTTATCGAAGTTCTTAATTAATATTGATCTTAAAAGTTTGGATAATAAATATCAAATATGTATAGTTAATAAAATAAATACGTATTGTATATTTTATAAAAAAAATTAAACAAATTTTTTTTTCATAAAGCTTCCTTAAACAAAAATATATTTTAACACGAAAAAAATAATAGTAACGTTAACCATCAAAAAGGGTTCACTTTTAAAAGTTAAATATAGTCTCTACATACGCTATTTACATTTAATGTATTAAGTATTTCTGCCATACAACTAGATAGCTGCGCGCAAAACCAGGAGCGAAACTTAACTAACTACTCAAGATTTGCTTAAATTCGGGAAAATAATTTCCTTTTAAAAATTTAAATCGTATATAAATACGTATAAAGTTTTTATACTTGCCGTATATCTTCAAATATAAGCAACCGCAATTTTACTCATTTTTCGAGTCAAAAATAAAGAGGTTGCTTATATTCAGAAATCATTTTACTAGTAAACATAACAAACCTTTACCAAATTTTCAGCTTCAAAATCTGGGGTTGCTTTTATTCGGGGTCTGAGTAAGTAATATTAATTAACTATTTCAATTTGATATATTCCGCAAAATTGTTCTAGTCAGCAAATATTGGATACACGCCAATTATAATTAGCCTTTCTCTTTAATAAAAGTTACTGAAAGTTGGAAGTGCTGCATGCCAAAAAATTTTTGACGATGATGCTATAATATTTTTGGTGCCTCAAATCTCTATCTCAATTTGAAATTCAATCTATCAAGAATGCAATTATTATTGATCAATCAGATGACAAATGACTTTATTAAAACACAATGAAAAGCATATAGGAACCTACTCAC